TTGACATTTTGCAGCTCAGGACTGAGTTCTGAGGTGCCAAATTCATGTGTGCCAGGGGTGCAACTAGCCCCTGGCACACAGTGCCAATATCTACCAGCCTACCACCATGACCACTTCTAAAAGCAGCAGTTGTCACATACCTCCAAACTCTGATGTCTTTCGAATCGGGACACAGGTGGGAGGAAGGTAAAGGGTGCGAGCCAGTGATGTGATTGCATCACTAGCTCCACCCCTAAATGGGAGGATATGCCCAGAAAGGGGACAGACCTGTCCTAGTAAATGGCAGGTCAGTCCCATAATTCTCTGGCTAGCTATGTAATTCAAAGAATCATGGGAGTTGTAGTTCAGCAACATCTGGGGGGCTGGAGTTTGAGGACCCCTGATCTAACTCCTAAATGGCAGAAAATGAGACTGCATGGGGCATGATCTATACACTAAAACTTCTTAATTAAGCTAATTTTTTTGATGCTTATAGTATTCCTTTAAGGGGCTACTCCAGGCACCAAAACGTCAACCAAATTAAGTTGTTATGGTGCCAGGAGGCACCGAACAGTTTAACCCAACAGTTGCCTCCAGCAGCAATGTCCAATCCCTTCCAGACGGCATAATGCTTCTGAATTTTCAGAATCAGGAAGCACGGAGTGCTACCTGGCAGGTGCGCCGTTAATTGTCTGAGAGAGCAATCAGTGACTCACCGTACATTAAACTGGCTTGGAAAGGTTTAATTTCAAGCTTGTTTAGTAAATGGGGAGTTGCTGGGAGTCATGTTCTTCTTGAAAGTGAAATATCAGAAACTGGATGCCGTGACTGTGACACACATTCCAGACCCCCTCCTGGTGTTGTGCGCTCAGTCCATGACCTTGTACCCAACGTCCAATCTAAGGAGATTTAGATGTCCTAAATCATCTCATTAGAGACTGACCTCCATATATCACACCTTACAACTCCAGCAGTTTCCATCTGTCAAATCCATAAAATCTGAGCTGAAACGAATGCCATTCACTTGCACTTGCCACCAGGCCAAAAGGTGACAGTCTTGTCATGTTTACTAAATGTACAACTTGTCATGCCACAGTATGATCAAACTAAGGAAGGCTATAGGTATAACAGGAAAAATTCTCTTTTGCTTAGAACCCTTAGCTATTTTCCTATTCAATCAGTTTACAGCAATCTCATTCTGCTTCTAAGAAGCATTTTGCTGTGATAATCCTTTTAGCAGCTTTTCTGCTAAAAACTGCATAAAATCTCCAGAATTTGTAGTTTTGCACTGGTGTGACAATGTTTAGATAAGAGTGATGAAAGGCAGTGCTTATTAATCTCCCCTTTTGTGACATGAGATGGGAATATGTATCTTGGCATATTGTCGTCAGACAAATTCTGCACCAAAAAAATATCTGTAAATAATTCCCACTTTCCATTAAATGAAAGTTTAATATGAACACCCCCACATATCCAATTAACAGTTTACTTTTTAAATTGATAAATACCACAGTATGGTACAAATAAAACCTTTTTGTTTGCTTAAGGTAACTAATTTTGTACCTGTCTTCCTGTTAAGAACTATCTGAGCATGGATTATATATCTTGCTCTCGGAGACTCAGTCAAAGTAAAATTAGGATGCAGGTCTAATAGTAATGCAGATAATTAATATATATTCAGAGAAACCACACCACATTGAGATGGTAACCCCTTTTTCAATGCCAATTAATTCATAGAATTATTTGGCAACAGTTAGCAGGTACAGATAAGTCTATCTTTACAAATCATCAGTTTCAACATATACAACATGCAGGGACGGATTTCCCACAAAGCGACTGAGGCCATGAGGCAGCATGCATGAGACTGGTGGCATGGCTGGTGTTGAGATCAAAGATGAAACAACCAGCATGAATTAATAATTAAATTATTGAAGTGCTGCCTGTACACTTCCTCTTTCTTTACTGCTCCATCGCAGACAGGTCAGAATATTTGCTCCCCTGGAGCTTTATACATTTACTGTCATTATCTATTTGTTCCAT